GCTTTTTTATCCACTCATCTACTGATGGGTACTTGGGCTGTTTCTAGATCTTAGTTATTGTAAATTGTGCTGCTATGAACATAGGGTTGCTTATATTCTTTCTGATTGGTGTTTTGGATTTCTTAGAATATATTCTTAGAAGTGGGATCGCTGGGTCAAATGGCAGTTCCATATTTAATTTTTTGAGGAAACTCCATACTGTCTTCCATAGTGGCTGCACCAGTCAGCATTCCCACCAGCAGTGTGCTAGGGTTCCCTTTTCTCCACATCCTCCCCAGAACTTGTCATTTGTTGATTTGTTGATGGTAGCCATTCTGACAGGTTTGAAGTGATACCTCATTGTCGTTTTAATTTGCATCTCTCTGTGTTTATCATAATTTCCAAGTGGGAGAACGGAGAAAGAAGAGTACATACATTAAGGATCTAGGGTTATACCCAAGTGGAGGGCATCCATCTAAACTCTTTCTCTCCCCTGCCTTTTAGCCCTTCGTCTCTTCCCAAAAGTGTTCCTCCACCGCAAGGTCTGTGGCACGATAGAAGCTTGTCGCCTCTGTTCCAGGGCCAGAGTGCAAGCAGGTGACTCTGGAGAATGCTGCTTACCCGTGTGGTTCCCATTCGATGTCGCACTGTCATTTCCCCCGCAGTGTCTAAGGGAAGGGGCACCGCATCTACCACCAGAAAGGCTCCAAGGCAGCTTTTACTTGACTTGTTTCTGATATATGCTTATTGCGAAATAATTCTAACAAAAGTTTAAAAGAACTAAAATCCCTACGAACTAGAGGCAACTCCAACAACATTTTGGCATATTTCCTTCTGGTGTTTTATTCATTTTGTTCTTTCATAATCGAGCTCTTTATTGTGCATGCAACTGTTTTTGCTTAACGTTATGGCATATATATTTGTCCATGTCATTTTGTTTTTATGGCTACGGAATTATCTGTAGAGTAGCTGCACCACGATTTACTCAAGTTATTTTCTGATTTTTTACAATTACAAATAACACTGATAAACAGCCTTGTGCGTAAATCGCTGCCCTTCTTTTGGGTGATTTACTAAAAGAGTAATTGGTGAATAAAAAGGTATGTTTTTATTTTTTTTCTTCTTTGGGTATATATGGTTTGTGGGGTGTGTGTTTTCTTTTTGGAGGGGTATCACTTTTTTTTAGAGACAGACAGTGAAAGGAAGGAGGGAGGGAGGGAAGGGGGAGAGAGAGAGAGAGAGAGAGAGAGAGAGAGAGAGAGAGAGAGAGAGAGAGAGAGAGAGATTGGTTGCTTCCCCCACAGGTGGACCTGGAGCTGGAGGCGAACGGGCAATCTTTAGTTATCCGCCAACCCTTCCATCCACAGCTGGCCGCTCGCACTACTCACTGAGTTACGGCCAGGGCGGGTATACGCGTTTTTAAAACCTCCCAAATACAGTGCCAAACTGATTTCCAGAAGGATTATCAAATTATACCGGAGCGGGGGGGGGGGGGAGAAATTACTGGATTTGTTAGAAAATGTGACAGCAATTCTCTTTTTTCTTTAAATAATGAGGAGACCCAGCTGTGCATTATTACACTAATCATTGTGTGCTGTTGCATGGTACTCACGCAATGGGGCTGCCAGTACAAGTGCTACAGGGTGTGGAGAATACAGATGCACGTGGGCAATGGAACTCAGGAGACCGTCCTTTCATGGAGTCTGGATGCTCACTGGGTGTTGGGGGGTTGAGGGGCTGAGGAGCAGAGAGGGCAGAGAAGGGGTGGAGTGGGAATGCCGCCAGGAGAGGGGAGCTGCGCGGTGGCAGCGCAGCAGCACCCAGCCGCCCCCTCGCGCAGGAAGGACTGCAGGGTGCCAAGGGCGGCGCTGAAGCAAACCCTTTGGCCACCTGAGTGATGATGATGTCCTTTGGGTTAACCAGAGATTTCGGGGGAAATTTCTGTAAAATGGTGGCCAGAAATAAAAATAGCTGCTGGCGGGCCTTCTCCTACACAAATTGGTTTTCCTGAAAACGACAGGAAAGTTACTCCTTGAACTGACAGAAAGAATACACAGCGATTATTTGATGAGTGATTGAGTAGATGTACACAGGGAAGACAGGATGGCTGGATAGATGGCTGCACACGTCTGCTGTCCATCTAATAACTAGCACCATTCATTCCAAAATATTTATTGCATATCAGTCCTGTCAATCACTTCATTAAACATTCCACATCATTAACTGCTCTTTTGACTTTTTAAGTTTTCATCTTTTTCTTTTCTTTTCTAGAAACAGACACCCATTTTCAGTTGTTTAAAAGGGTCTGAGAGGAAGAGGCCCATATATTGGCATTTCCCTTTTTCTCTCTGGCAGGAAATATAACTAAAGATATTTTCCTTCATGCAATTTCAAACCCAAATGTCACTCCCTAACTTTAAAACTTTAAATGGTTCTCCTTGCCTGTCACATGTAATAAAGTTCAAATTACGTTACCTGCTCCTTTATATTCTTTTTATAATCTGACATATATCATGATTTTTCCTTCCATTCTTTTGTGTATGTGAAAATTTTTTGTGTGGTAAAAAAGTATAACAAAAATGTTCATTTTAACACATTTTAAATGTGCAATCCAGTGGCATTAATTGCATTCACAATGTTGTCCATTAATCACTACTCTTGATTAACAAAACTTTATCACTCCAAAACAAACTCTATAACCAGTAAGTTCCTATTTCCCCAGTACCTGATAGCCAATAATCTATTTTCTATCTTTATGAATTTGCCTATTCTAGATATTTCATATAAGTGAAATCTTATGTTTGTCCTAGTGTGGCTCATTTCAGTTAGTATAATTTTTGCAAGATTCATCCATGTTGTAAGTATCAGCATTCATTTTTTTACGGCTGAATAATATTCTATCATTTGTAAATATCCCACCTTTTGTTTACACATTTATCTGTGATGGACAATGGCTTGTTCCCCCCCCCCCATCTTTGGGCTATTGCGAATAATGCTACCATGCACATTAGTGTACAAGTATGTGTTTTAGATGTCTTCAATTCTTTTGTGCATATACCCAGAAGTGCAAATGCTGGTTTAAGTAGTGATTCAGAATATTAATTTTGATTATAAAGTGTCAGGTTTATTTAGTTAATTTTATGCTATTTAGTAGAAAATACCATAATGATGGTGTTTTTCAAACTTTGGGCCCTAATCTATTAGTAAGTTATGAAATCAATTTGTTTGCTATGATCAGCATTTTGAAAAATGAAATAGAAAAACAAGAATGCAATGGACTACTTAAGGGCATTATTTTGTGAATCTTTTATTTCAGTTGTGTGTGTACTGTCAAATATGTCTTATTGTGGGATGTGATCAGAAAAAAATGAGTTGAAGAGTGAGGTTTGGAATTAGCCAGGACTCCGTGTGAGTCTGGGCTCCTGGGGACTTTTACCAGTTATCTAACTTTTTTGTGTGGCTCAATCCCTTCATCAAAAAAGGAGAGTAATAATATGTCCTTGTTTTGTGTGCCCCTGTGTGAAAATATTAGAGATTACTTAAGTAGAGTGCCTAAAATATAGCCAATGATTAACATACTTACTTCCAAATCTGCTTAAAAATAATGCCCTCCCTGTGAAAACACTTCATTCGCTGGAAGGGAGACAGTATGTGTTACTGATGACCAGACACATTGCTCGGGCTGTTTCTCCGATTTGGTTTTGTAAGGAGACTCAGACACATAGCTCTTTCCCCTTCTTATTCTCACACTGTACTTATGTCTATATTATGGATTTGGGCACTTTATTATACATCTGTCATGTATTTCCTAATTATTTCACAGCTCGGCTAGTATTACACACTTTCAAATATCTTCCAGTGTTTAAAACAGTGTGGGGCACATTACAGGGTGCTGGATGGAAATCTAGGGAGTTTGGCCTACAGCACACTTTTTGCAAAGTATCACTTCTGTAAGGGGAAGCAGACATAATCCTGATTCCACCGGTATTTCTCACTCGATCTACTCCATGCTAAACATGCCAGTTAAGCACCAAGTCATGTCTCTGGGCAGTACAAGTGGAAGGTGTGAACAGAGAAACCACTTTATCTGAGGGCAGTGGAAATTAGATTCTAGCTCCCCCTCCCCACGCCTGTTCCCATCGGGCGGGGGCGTGGATAATCCCCGAGGACCAGGGCCCAGAAGCGCGCCCGCTCTGAGCCCCAGCAGCCGGCCAGCACGCACGCTCCCCCGCGCTGAGAGCCCTTCTCCCCAGATGAATCCTCATGGTGTCACAGACGCGCGCAGTCTGGATCGATACTGGATGGCAGACGTGCTCCCGCCGCCGTCAAGTGTAGGAACCGGGCGGTGGATTTAGCAGCCCTGCCGCCCGGGCGCAGCTTCTCATCAGCTCGATCCAGGCAGAGGGCCTTAACCCATTCCCCGGCTGACACCCACCTGGTCGCCTCCCCGAAACCCGCCGCCCCTTCCTCGCAGCTCGGCTCCGCAGGGCGGGGCTTTGCCATCAGGGCCCGCGCTGGGGCAGCAGGGCCGCGGCGCACGGGAGGGAGCCGCGGGCGGGAGGGCGCCGTTAGGTGGCCCCCAGCAGGGCTCCCTGTACCGTCCCCAGAGGCGGCTGCAGTGGGGAGCGCGGAGCTTCCTCACACTCCGGGCCACCTTCTTCCGTCTTCTCGCTCTCCGGTGGGGCGGCGGCGGGGGAGGGGGGAGCCTCGGGCAGCCCCTAGGCCGGCTGCTGGGGCCGGAAGACGCGCAGGTCCCGGGGAGGCGGGCAGGGGCGCGCTCGCCGCCCGCGGGCGGACCCCGAGAGCCAGGCTCCGCGAAAACCCCGCCCCGGAGCCCGCTCCCACTCCTGATTGGCCAGCGCAGCCCCCAGGCGCCGGCGGTGCCCCGGCCTGTGTCTCAGCTATAAAGGCTGAGCAGGCATGACCGCCGCAACGAAGCTCTCCGGGCAGCCGCGGTGCCCGCCCGCTCAGCCCCCGTAGCACCCCCATTCCTCCCTGCCCCCGAGCGCTCCGACTCCACCATGCCGAGGGGCTTCCTGGTGAAGCGAACTAAACGGACAGGCGGCGCGTACCGAGTGCGCCTAGCCCAGCGGGTCTTCCCCCTACCGGAGCCCCAGGGGGCGCCGCCCTTCGCCAAGGAGACTTCCCGGGCCCCCCGGCCGGATGCGGAGCAGGCGGCACCCTCTAGCCAGGAGCCCGGAAGGGGGCTGGAGGAGGCGGCGGCCCGGGAACTGTCGGGGTCGCCTTGTCGGGCAGCTGGGGTGAGCCCGGGGGCGGGTGGGCGGGAAGGTGCCGAGTGGAGGGCGGATGGCAGGGAGAGTCCCAGGCCCAGCTCCAGCCCTGCAAAGCCGGTGGGCGTGGAGCTGCGCCGGGCGTTTCTGGAGCGCTGCCTCCGCTCGCCGGCCTCCGCTGAGCCCTTCCCCGGGGCCGCCGCTGCCGTGGCCGCTTTCTCCCTGCTATCTGTGTTTTGCAGCCTCACCGACCCTCGGGGGGAGCAGTTCTTTCTGCTGTTCCGGGCTCTGTTTCCCAGAGCCCACTCTCCAATCCGGACCCCGCGACAGATCTCGG